TCTCTCTTTCTCTCTATTTCCCTTCCTCTCTCTAATATCAATTAAAAATACTTTTTCTTTCATTAGTCCATATTTTCCTAATTTTTGGAAAATGTAGTCACCATAAATCTAACAATATGAAAACACTTAGCATGGTATCCAACACAATAGGTGTTGAATGTACGACAGTATATAACCAAGTATCAAATATAAGTATAATATGCCCATACAAATACTTAAACACAAATGTTCAGAGCAGCTTTATTTATAACAGCCCAAAGCTTAGAAATATACCAAACGTCTACCATTAGATGGGTGAATAGAGGAACTAATGTGGTATATCCATACATTGGACTACTACCCAGCAATAAAAATGAATGAAACAACCTGAATAATTATAGTAATTATATTGAGTAAAAGAAGTCATACATAAAAAGAGTACATACTGGATAACTTATTTATATAAAACTAGAAAATTCAAACTAATCTGTAGTGTCAGAAAGCACATCAGTGGTTACCTAAAGATGATGTGGGAGGTGGAGAGCAGAGGGTAGAGGGTAACTTTTGGGGATATGGATATAATCATTATCTTGATTGTGATGATGTTTTCATAGGTGTATACAAATATTAAAACTTATCAAATTGTACATTTTAAATATATAAAGTTTCTGTCAACTTCATTTCAATAAAGCTATTTTTAAAAAATGCCACATGTACCTTAGAGATTATGATTAGAATACTGGAGGGGGGTCAGTTCAATAAATCTCTAAATCAAGCATGTCAAACTTTCGGCCTGTGGGCCACATGCAGCCCACAACGAATATTTTTGCAGCCCAGCCAATATAATGGTATGTAAGAAACATTTTAATAAAATTTCATAACTTAATTTTTATAATATCCTGTTATACATAACTAAAGGCCCGGTGCACGGATTCGTGCACATTGAAAGTAAATTAATTAGAAGGTGGCCGGCTAGGCGAGATGGGCTGGACATGCTCTGGAGCCAACCTCCCATGGTCCCTCCTCAGCCAGCCGTACCTGGGGCAGTGCTGGGGCTCGAAGGGCATCTGTGGAGTGAGTGGGGTCCCTCTGGCAGGTGGGGTCCCTTGGCCTGGCCTGCGGGGATTGGGCCAAAACTAGCAGTCTGACATCCCCTGAGGAGTCCTGGAGAGAGGCCACTCTGCAAAGTTGCTGTTGCTTGGCAGCTCCTGCATTGTGTCTGCCCCCTGGTAGTCAGTGCATGTCATAGGTACTGGCCTGTCAGCTGGTCACTTAGCCTTTTATATATATAGATTATTAATAATGAACTATAACATTGCCTGACTGATTACTATAATTGTGTTGCGTTCATTTCCCTTGTGCACCTTACGCGTAGGCGCACCATTTCTCTCCACTAATACTAGCAGCGAATATTTTAGTAGCCTATTGCCACATCATTAGTCTTGGACTGACTTATTTGGTGTATGCAATAGGAAATATTTTGACCTTTGGAGAACAAGAAAAATACGTTTATTTGTGTTATGCTTATTAATTTGTGCAGTTATTCAGTGTCTGGTAGGTTAATGTTCAAGAAAAAATATTAATTTTTATTAAAATGTTCTATTATTTTATGTTAACAATTAATCATTTATATCAGCTCTTTGTATTGAGCATGTCTCTATCGAAATAAACCTACATTTCTATGAAAATTGAAGCTTTTGTTTTTTTGCGGCCCACATAAACTTAAACCTTGTTTATTTGGTTCGTGTTAGCCTTTGAGTTTGACATGCTTACTCTAAATAAATAGTTTGTATATGTATATGTTATGGAAGTTGATTTAATAAATATTAAAGTCTAATCAAAGTGGGCAATATGAAATACCTTGGACTGGAATATATTAACCTATTATCTTGTCTGAATAGAGAACATATTAACCAAAGGTTTAGTGCTGCATGAAGTGCAAGAATTTGTGCATCTGTAGCACTGTCCAGGAGGAAGGGTCCTTTGGACCAGCAGACAAACCTTCTAAATGCCTATTCTGCTTCTTCCTCCATTCCTCACAAAAGCTATCTCAAATCACCAACACTGTCCTGGAGCCCACCATGTCTTATTTATAGCCATGTCCCCAGTACCAATGTGGTACATAGTAGGTGTTCAATAAATATCTATTGAACAAAAGAAAGGTGCATTGAGCTGGACTCCCTCCACCTCAGATTAGTTTAGGTGTTCCTCTTTTTGTACTCCCATAGCAGACAATACTTCCCCTATCAGGTTTATTTGTCTCTGTTGTAATTGTCTAAGTACTTGTTACCCAAAAGATTGTAAGTTCCATTAGGATAGGCTTGTTCACCTGCTTTAAAAATATTTGTATTGCCCTAATCAGCTTGGCTCAGTGGATAGAGCGTCAATCCTCGTAATGAAGGGTCCTGGGTTCGATTCCGGTCAAGGCACGTACTGGTTGCTTTACAGAGTTATTGTGATCAAAACTGTACAGATATGAAAAATGGTTGGTGTTTAATAAATGTCATTATTATTTTATTATTATAAATACTTACTTGTTCTCATTCCTTGCTATTTAAAAACTTATCAATTCTCTTAAAACTTCCAACTCTGCTACTTCCTCTCTTACTGTCAGGAGCTGACTTTGCTTTCCTAAATTTCAGAGGAAACAGAAACCATGAGATGAGAATTTCCTACTAGCAAATCTATAAAACTGACCTGCAATTATACCCTTTTTTTTTCCTTCCTCCCTCTTATAATGGAGAAAGTAGTTAGCAAGCTCTGTGAGAACAAAGTGACTGGGAGACAGAGGTGCACAATCAGTATCTGTGGACTGACTGAAATGGTGTCTGTCCTCCAGTCTAAGGCTAATCCATGCACCAACCTTTCCTGCTGCCTCTTTTAAAAAATTTTTCTTTAAAAAACAAATATTTGTATTGCCCTAGCTGGTTTGGCTCAGTAAACAGAGCGTCAGCCTGCAGACTGAAGGATCCTGGGTTCGATTCCAGTCAAGGGCACGTACCGGTTGCAGGCTTGACCCGGCCCTAGTTGGGGTGCATGTGGAAGGCAACCAATCAATGTGTCTCTCTCACATCAATGTTTCTCTCTGTCTCTCCCTCCCCCTCCTTTCCACTCTCTCTAAAAACGAATGGAAAAATATCCTTGGGTGAGGATTAACAACAACAAAACAAAAAAATATATTTTTATGGATTTTTCAAGAGAGAGGAAGAGAGAGGGAGAGAAAAACATTGATGTGAGATTGAAACATTGATCAGCAGCCTCCTGCTTGCTCCCTAGCGGGTCTGAACCTGAAACCCAGGCATGTGCCCTGACAGGGAATTGAACCAGCAACCTTTTGGTGCACAGGATGACGCCCAACCAGCTGAGCCACCCGGCCTGGGCTCCTGCTGGCTCTTATACTTCCATCAATTATCCTTTCTTTCCTTTATCTTATAAACCTCTCTCCATCCAATAGCAAGGGTTCTCTATACCAGCAGTCGCCAACCATTAGGACCTCACAGACCACCGGTTGGCCACCGCTGCTCTATACTAATTACTTTTATTTCCTCATCTCCCACTAACTCTTCAATCTATTCCAACCTTCATGATTGAACACCAGTAACTTCCTACATCCCATGGACTCCATCATACTTGACCTCTTAGCAAAGGTGACATGGTGTGGAGGAGAGACTATGCCATGATGTGACAGCTATGGGGCCCTGCTAACTAGATCCTGGCCAGAACAAAGATTGCTTCCCAAAATCCCCCCAGGGACTATCTAATTCACCCCTCCCCTATGCCCCAAGCATGCTGGTTCCTGGAATAGGTCATTACCCCCACCCCAATCAAGCACACAAAACATTTCCCCCTTATCTGGGGTAGCTCATGCCCCAGTACCCCATCCATCCAGCCCTGTCCTATAGAACCCTTTAGTGCAAGCATGTCAAACTCAAAGGCTAACATGAGCCAAATAAACAAGGTTTAAGTTTATGTGGGCTGCAAAAAAACCAAAAGCCTCAATTTTCATAGAAATATAGATTCATTTCGATAGAGACATGCTGAATACAAAAGGCTGATATAAATTGGTAATCGTTAACATAAAATAGAACATTTTAATAAAAATTAATATTTTTTCTTGAACATTAACCTACCAGACACTGAATAACTGCAAAAATAAGCATAACGCAAATAAATCTGTTTTTCTTGTTCTCCGAAAGCAAAATATTTCCTATTGCGCACACCAAACAAGTCAGTACAAGACTAATGACGTGGCAATCAGCTGCTAAAATATTCACTGCTAGTATTAGTGGAGAGAAATGGTGTGCCTGTGAGTAAGGAGCATAAGGGAAAGGAATGCAACATGATTATAGTAATCCATCATTAGCGAACATTGTAGTTTGTTATTAATAATTATGTCTAACAGGATACTGTAAAAATAAAGTTACAAAATTTTATTAAAACGTTTTTTACATACCACTATATTGGCTGGGCCGCAAAAATATTCACTGTGGGCTGCGAGTTTGACATGCTTGCTTTAGTGCCTGCCACATGGCACAAAGGATATCCATATCATCTTCCAGTCACCCAAGAGGAGCCTCAGCTATAAGTTCCCTTAATAAACTTTATGTAATAAAGGAATTGTTGGCCTTTCTTTGGTCTCTCAACCCTAGGAAATCCTATATAATAAAAGGCTTATATGCAAATTGACCGAATGTCAAAACAACTGGTCGCTATGACATGCACTGACCACCAGGGGGCAGACGCTCAACATAGGAGCTGCCCCCTGGTGGTCAGTGGCTCCCACAGGGGGAGCACCACTCAGCCAGAAGCCAGGCTCAAGGCTGGCAAGTGCAGCGGTGGTGGCAGGAGCCTCTCCCGCTTCTGTGGCAGTCGGACATCCCCTCAGGGCTCCTAGACTGCGAGAGGGTGCAGGCTGGGCTGAGGGACCTTCTCCTCGAGTGCACAAATTTCATGCACCGAGCCACTAGTTTTATATAACACAGTAATCACGCCCTCCTTCCTGAACCCCCTTTTCACTTGCCTTCTGTGATACTCGGGTATCTCTTCTTTCTCTTGGGCTATTTCTCTGCCTTCTTTTCTAGTTCATTCTCCTCTGCCTGGCCACTTTGAATTGGGTCTTAGGCCTTCTTTTCTTCTTATGCTGCATACTCTCCTTGAGTGATTTTATCTCCTCCTGTGGCTTAAATAGTTAGATCCTGATGATGCCCAAATTTGTAGTTCCTAGCCAGAATCTTCCTCTTCAGGTAATATCCACATAACTATCTTTGCTCTATCTCTACTTATTATTTAGGTACAGGTTGAAAAAGCTGAATTCTTCTTCCCACCAACTTTTCTGCTTCCTATAGGCCACCTTGCAGTGAATGGGACTGCTTACTGTTCACCTAGTTGCCCAACCAGAAACCTGAATGTCATCCCAACTCCTCCCTTTCTCTTCACAGTGAATAAATTAAGTCCAGGCAATTTGTTCCCCCAGAAATCTTTGACTACACCCCTTTTCCTTTACCCCTCCTGCCATCACCCGTACCATCATTGTCTCTAACCTGGATTTCAATCTTCAATCTTGTGAACCTAGTTTCCATCTCATAGCCAGAGGGTCTTTCTAAAACACAAATCTGGTTAGATCAGTGATTCCCAAAGTGGGCGCTACCGCCCCCTGGTGGGCGCTGATGGCCATAGGTGCATTTGGGGGCATATATCTTTCTGTTTAATTGCTATTAAAATTAAAAAAAATTAATTTCGAGGGGGCGCTGAGTAATATTTTTTCTGGAAAGGGGGCGGTAGGCCAAATAAGTTTGGGAACCACTGGGTTAGATCATCCTTTTGTTTAAAACCCTCCAATGGCTTCCCACTGCCCTAGGGATAAAGACTAATCTTGATGTTGCTGAGAAGACTTACATAGTATCTTTACTTCTCTAGTTTCATAGGTTCCTCTGTGCTATGTTCCTGCCATTTGGAACATAGTTTGAGCTCTCTTTGTTCTTGCACAGGCTGCTGCTTCTTGCCTGAAATTTCTTCATTCCCTTGCTTGATTCATTCCTACTTTCTTCTCTACTTAGCCATCACTTTGGATCAGTTTTGTAGGTTTGCTAGTAGGAAGTTGAGGAAGTTCTCACTTTATGGTTTCTGTTTCCTCTGAAGTAGAAGAAACAAGGTTAACTCCTGAGAGTGAGAGAAGTAGCAGACTTTAAATTTTCTTTTTAAATGTTTTCACTGATTTTTAGAGAGAGAGGCAGGGAGAGGAAGAGAGAAATATCGATTGGCTGTCTCCGGCATGCCCCCTACCGGGGATTGAACCTGCAATCTGGGCATGTGCCCTGACTAGGAGTGAACCAGCAACTTTTCGATGCATGGGATGACAGCCAACCAACTGAGCCATACTGACCAGGGCATTACTTAGAAGTTTTTGAGTCTTAATCTCAGGTCTAGGCGAAGTACCTAATTGTAGAGTTCATAAAACACCTGAATTCCTTTATTTCTCATGTCATATTATGGAATAACATCTTAAGTCTCTCTCCCCTTAGATCACTAGATGGTCCTCAGCCCCTTGCACTGTTCTGGAATAGAATAAGCACTCAGTAATATTTTGCCAAATGAAAGAATGAGTATACACCAAGCAATTGTTTGATATTAATTTTGTTTCATGTATACTCTCTTATAGGGCAGAAAATGCATGCATCAGTCAACTTGAGCATTCTAGGTTACTTAGTTTTATTTTTTTCACTTGCACAGAGCCTTCCTGCTGTGAAGAAGGCATAAAAGGCATTGCATTTGGTATAATAAAACTATCACATAGCCCTGGCTGGTTTGGCTCAGTGGATAAAGCGTTGGCCTATGGACTGAAGGATCCCGGGTTCGATTCTGGTCATATGCCTGGGTTGCAGGCTCAGTCCCCAGTGGGGGGGCGGGGACGGAGGGCCGGGGGGCGTGCGGGAGGCAGCCAATCGATGATTCTCTCTCATCCTTGATGTTTCTGTCTCTCTCTCCCTCGTCCTTCCTCTCTGACATCAATAAAAATATATTTAAAAACAAAAAACTATTAAATAGTTTTTGACAGGTAATATCTATAGTTTCTTCATTTCCTAAGAAACAATCATTAGCACTGTTGCTGAAGAAACTACCCTAAGTCCAATCACACCAAATTTCTTGTTCTCTAAGAGTTTATTTTTGTACTTGCTTTACCAGGAACTCCCTTCTCCCCTTGGCTAAAGGCCTGCTAGTCTTGCAAGACTCAAGCCCAGAGCCAACTCCTTTTGGAAGCTTTTCCTGAACTGCACAGGTTGAGTCTGGGGCTCTTTCCATATGTTCCTATAGTACTCTGTGCACTCCTATTATTTAGCAGTTACTGTTGCATTAAAATAGGGAAGCTTTCAGTGAGTATTTTATTTGCCTCTCCTTTCCCAAAGCCTGGGGAGAGTGCCTGACACAGAAAGAGATGCCAAGACTTAAGTCCTGAATTTAGTTCCTAGTCAGGAAACCTTGGATGACTTCAGCCATAAGTGTCAGGTAACTTACTTCGTTATATTCATTAATTCTAATCTTCACAAACATCCTTTTTTTTTTTTCAAAATTCTTAAAAACTAGAAATGGTGGAGCTGGGATAGAATCTCAGTATAATTGTGAAGCCTGTGCTTTTTAAAAAAAATCCTCACCTTAGGATATGTTTTTATTGATTTTTTTATGGAGAGACGAATGAATTGAGAAAGAGAGGGAAAAACATGGATGAGAGAGAGAAACACTGATCAGTTGCCTCCGGCATGTGCCCTGACCGGGGATTGAACCCACAACCTAGTTCTGTGCCCTCACTGGAATCAAACCTGCAACTAACTGAGCCACCCAGCTAAGGTTGTGCTTTTTATACCTCATCACGGAGGCAAATCACTGAGACTCTTTAAGACTGGTTTTCTGAATGGGAATCAGAAAATACCACAAGAAGCAGAAGTTCTAAATTTTACTAACAACCATAATAGAGATGTTATGTTGACTATGCACTTAAATAACTGAAAACATGAACTCTCCCCTTTATAGGTCAGTTTGATACGTCCTCTAAATTTTTTTTAAATCCTCACCTGAGGCTATTTTTCCATTCATTTTTGGAGTGGAAGAGAGGGAAAGACAGAGAGAAATATCGATGTGAGAGAAACACAATGATTGGTTGCCTCTTGCATGAGCCCCAGCCAGGACCCGGCTGGGGAGGAGCCTGCAACCGAGATACATGCCCTTGACTGGAATCAACCTGGGACCCTTCTGTCCCAAGGCCAACGCTCTATCCACTGAGCCAAACTGGCTAGGGCCATAGTCCTCTAATATTCATGACTGCCAGAATCTAGGCTACTCTTTATCAAAGTTTCATGTTACAGTAACTACTATTCGGCTAAGGATTACTATTTCTGTTCTAAACTCAGAAGTTTCTCCAAATGACTAAGAAAATAGTGTATTTCCAAAATAAAGTACATGGGGAGGGAGGTTCTTCACCTTTATGCAAAAGACAAAATATAGTGCCCTCTTAAGGATCTTTCTCTCTTTTTTTTAATCCTCACCCATGGATATTTTTTCCATTGATTTCTAGAGAGAGTGGAAAGGAGGGAGGAGGGGGAAGACAGAGAAAGAGAGAGAGAAACAATGACAAGAGAGAGACACATCGATTGGTTGCCTCCCGCATGTGCCCTTGACAGGGAATCGAACTCGAAACCCTTCTGTCCCAGGGCTGAAGCTCTAATCACTGAGCAGCTGTCCAGGGCTAAGGCTCTCTTCTTAATGATTCATTGTGATTGAGGGGAGGGGAAGGAGGCAAAGGAAAAAAAAGTAAATTTCATTAAAAGATTTCAAGGAGAACTGGAAAACACAGGGTGGAAATTTCGCTTGTCTACTACTAAAATAGGACACCAGAAAAAAAACAAACACTTGGATCACAGTAAGAAATATACAAGTGACGCTAGATCATCTGACAAACCCGTCCAACCTATTCACCACACTTTCCCATTAAATAGCATACTGTATTTCAACATAGACCTTTGCTGACTCTGCTAAGAATCTTAAAAACGATTACGTTTCTGCAGCAGAATTCACTAAAAAGTGGTAAATACCAATATTATGCAAAAATCCAGTAATATGAAGGAAGAAGTCCCCGGGCTGGAGGTAATGAGTAAGAGGGGCCATGCTGTCGGCAGTAAATCTTGCCTCCTCTTCTAAGTCCTTGCTCAGCCACGAACAAGAAGGGAACGGCTATGGAGAGAGCTGGAGGTCACAGGCCTCAGGCATGAGCTCCTGCAGCTCTACTACCTCTCCAGCTGGCTCCCAATCCCCCCGGCACCCCCGTGCCCATGGGCAATGCTGAGGGTGCACCGGCCCACTAAAAACGGACGTGGGAGCAGGAACTTGGGACTTACACTTGTTTTCTCTCACCTGTTTCAGATTTGTTTAGTCCCTGGCACGTGCTTGGGGCAAACTAGTAGCCTAGATATCTTCTTGTTTACTGCCAATACGAACACTGTAACTCTGCTGAGAAGAAGTTTAACAAAGTCTCAGCAAGCAAGGGGGCAGCCCGGGGCGATGGAAAAGCAAATGGCCACAGCTGGGGAAAACAGCACAGGGCTGCTTTGGGGGGAAACCTGGTGTACGCTTCCAGAAGCAGATTCAAAGTTCACCCACTGACCCTCGCCCCTCAGTGCCTCCTCCTCCCCACCCCCTGCAGCTCGGATTAGAGACAGTGAAGTAAGGGTGGGGGAAGGACACAATCTGGACGCTCCTGGCAGGTGAAAAGGCTCTAAAAAAGGTGACCCAGAGGGGAGTTTCGGGGCAGCGAGGTGGCAGGTACAGAGGTGAAGGGGAAAGAATGTGCGAGGACCAAGGAGAGGTGAGTGCAAGCGAGCGTGGCAGCAGAAAGGGGGCAGGGCTGGAGGAGGAGAGCGGGCCAGCCACAGGAGGGGAGGCTCAAGAGGAAAAGGGTGGGAGGGGCAGGATCCCACGGTGGTCCGGGTTTGGATCCCAAGAGGACGGACCTGGAGCGCGGGGGGTGGGACAGGGCCGGACAGGTCTTGTGGGAACAGCAGGGTCGGCCAGGATGGGGTTGACTCAGAGAGTGGACGGAAACGACCCAGTTCCTAGCTTCACGACCCCTCGGCGCCACCCTCACTCGCCTGCAGGATCCGAGCCCGCACAGCCGCCGCCGCCACTACCGCCGCCATGGTTCCCGGGGCCTCGACTCCCCGTGACTCCCGAGCAGAACTGCAGCTGCCAGACTTGGCCCTTCATCCTGCCGCGCCTCTTCATTGGTGGAGAGGACCATTTCCCCGGCCAATCACTCGCCCTAACTCCTGACTCCACCCTCATGCCCAGTTTTGGGGACAGGCGATTGGTCAGAAGTGAAAGCGCTCTCTCCCCTCTCCCACCTCAGCAAATTCTGTTGGCGGAGGTAGGGAGGACGCCCCTCACTTGGGTGCTCTCCATTCAGCACGCAGGGAAGACGCCCCTTCACCGGGAGCCCCGATTGGCCACAGGGACGACTGCGGCCCCGCCCCCTCACTGAGGAAAGTAAATAAAGCCTTCCTAGAATTGGCAGGCGCTCCGCCTCCTCCAGTGCGTGGGGGGTGTGGCCAGCACTGGGGGCGGGGCTAGGCCAAGATCGCTCTAGAAGGGGCAAACGAGATGGGGCCTGGGAGTGGGGATACGGTTTCCCTTTGGGGGCGTGGCTTGTGGGTCCTCGCTTTCCCGCCGACGGTTGGTCGCGTCACGTGACATGGGTTGGAAGATGGCGTCTCCCACAGAGGGTAAGAGCCGGCTTAGAGATCCTTCGCCTGCCCCCCTGGCAACTTCCGCTCTCCGTCTGCCGGTCTTAACTTGGGCTCCTCTCTTTCCCCCTCCCACTTCTCTTCCTCGGGATGCGGGTGCGTCTTCAGCTCGCCGATTCTTCACAGATGCTCCGGAGGAGCTCAGTTTCCCCGCTGTGCACCAGCCGGGTGGAGGGGGGCACCCGCGGGAGACCCATCCGGGCCCAGCTGCTCCCTTAGCCTCAGCTTCACGGAGGGCGGCGGCGGCGATTACAGCTGGGGGAAAGGAGGTGCCTTCTGGTAGCTTTCTTCTGGGGCGCCCCATTCGAGGGTTGGCTCTCTCATCTTTGATCGCCTGGCACTCTTCGCTCCCACCGTAGCTGGGATCGGTGGCCGACCTCATCCTCTTTCTGCCCAGATTGGTACGGTTGTCCTGGCAGCTCGAGAAGCGGGGGACCTTCCCGGCCCCTCGCCGAGCGAGTCCCAAGGAGAATGAGAATTGAGCCTTTTAGGGTAGTTCTGTACACGACTCAGTCTCTCTTGCTTCTGCCGTATGTTCCCCCGGGCTGAGGGAACGATTTCTGCCTGGATATTGTCCAAGGGGCAGGTCGTCTCAGCAGCTAAGTTATGCGGGTGTGTGTGCTCTTGTGCTTCTGCGCTCGATCCGATCCTGCTTTGGGGAGTGAGGGTCTTGCAGTCATTTCTGCACTCAATTTTTGCTTCTACTGCCCCCACCCCCACGTCCGTTTCACTGATATGTAGTTTACCCTCCTCACACCAACACAGTTTTGTGTTTGGAAGGAATCTTGGCAGTTCATTTCAGGAATGAGGAAATTGGGGCCAAGAAAGCTGTACAGGTTACCTGGAAGGCATAACGCTAGGCGCTTTGGGAGAGGAAAAGATTAATCATTCACGTACATTCCCGCGGTTTCAGGTCTTATTTTAGCTGTCACCTCCCAGAAAGTCTTTCCCAGGACATGGCATCTGGATATGCCCCTCTTCACTGCTGTTCATGATCTCAGTGCCTCCACTGCCAGCGTACTTATTCTGTTAACTTTGCCGCTTTCACACAGGGATATAAATTCTAGATCTGTCTTGTTCATAGTTGAAAGAATGTTACTTTGGCTTAAGTTTCAAGTTAAACCGAGTCTTAAGTTTTTTTGCGTGCAGGTAAACTGTAAAAGAAATTATGGGTGTTCAGCGCGGCCACAGTGGCTCCGTGGTGGAGCGTTCACCTAGGAACCAGGAGGTCACGGTTCGATTCCTGGTCAGGGCACATGCCCGGGTTGTGGGCTGGATCCCCAGTGTGGGACATGCAAGAGGCGGCCAATCAATGATTCTCTCTCATCATTGATGTTTCTATCTCTCCCTTCCTCTCTGAAATCAATAAAAAATATATTAAAAAGAAAAAGAAGTTTGGGTTCAGAATCAACAGAGATTCCGTTCCTTGCCTGGGTGTCCTCTGGGTAAAATGCCCTTCTCATGCCAGGAAAGAGAAAGGAGTGGGGGTGACATTTAAATAGTCAGTCAAGGGAATGGGGAGTTGTTTAATGGGCACTGAGTTTCAGTTTGGGAAGGTGAAGAAGTTCTGGAGATGGATTGTGATAATGGTTGCACAACATTGCGAATGTACTTAATGCCACTGAACTGTACACTTACAAATGGTTAAAATGGTAAATTTCATTATGTATATTTTACCACAGTTTTTTTTAAAAGCCAAGTGATAGAAGTAATTTCTGTTAAAAATTTTAGTTTATTACGAGGTTATTTTTAGATTTCTAAGTTTTGGAGGTTTTAGAGCTGTGTTCCTTGTATTTATTTTTTCCCTGTCTTCTCTCATTTCTTTTTCCTTTCTTTAACCAGGAAGAATATTGGAAACATTATATATTTCTTCCTTTGATCTTCTAGCAATCTCCATTGCTACTCTTTATGTGTAAAAATTTTCAGTTTCATCTTTTACAAAGTTTCACTTCTCCACCTGAACTTTATTTTTAATCTGACAAAATCAAGGGGAGCACTTTGGACTTAAATTCAGTTTCTAAATAAGTATATCTTCCTAAAATATTCCATTGCCTAGCTCTCTCACTTCTATTTGTAATGTTCTACCTGTCCTTGTCTTTAAAATTTAATTCAAATAATGTTGATATGAAAAAGATTAGGTCATTTACTCATTGTCTTCTTTTTTTTAATTGAGTGATTTTAAAGAGAGGTAGGGAGGGATGGAAAAGAGAGAGAGAGAGAGACATTGATTTGTTGTTCCACTTATTTATGCATTCATTTGTTGAATCTTGTATGTTCCCTGGCTGGGGATCAAAACCTTGGCATATCTGGACAATACTCTAACTGAGATACCCGACCAGGACCTCATTTGTCTTTTTAATGCTAAATTTGCTGGGACTTTTTTGAAAAGGAGAAAGCTGAAATCAAGTAAAGCCATCTAATTACTTAATGTATGAGAGTAAGCCTCACAGCAGATTCTGAGTTATGCCCCCAACTGTGGTTTTCATAAGGCTACCCCTGTTGGTTATTAGCTCCTACTCCCAATAAGCTTATTTTTGTTATTGGTAACATTCTTTGGAATTTGAAAACTGACACTTTGTGTTACACAGTTTTCCTTTCTTACCAATTTGGATGCTTTAATTAAGGCAATTATTAGGGTCAAGTTCTTGACCAATTAGAATGCTATTGGAAATTCAATTAGAACATTTGGGGGGCAAATTCAATTTAGAGAAAAGTTCATGTTTCAATTTAATATACATGTACATTTTCTGGGGAGTGAGTCCATAAGTCCATAGCTTTTTTTCTTTTCTTCCAGATTTCAAAAGATGTGGCTTATTCAGAAAATGTTAAAAACTGTTTGTGTCATTAAATTACCTGATTTATGCAACTAGTTAGCATACTGAGCATATAATATGTACTCAACACATGTTAACTATTGTTAATATCTAGTATCTACTGTGTGCCCAGGCAAGAGTAGAGAGGAAATGGCATCAAAGAATTAGGCTGGATCATGTAGGATTTTATAGGGCATGGTAGGTACAAATTCACGAATTTAGCTGGGAAGAAGTCCTTTAAGCTGAAGAGTGACATGAACTAATTGGCATTTTTTAAAAAATCAGTTCTGGCTGCTTTGTGGACAATAGATTTGGGGGTAGGGAGGAGAAGGGATAAGAATGGGAAAAGGGAGACGTGTTAAGAGGTTATTGCAGTCCTCCAGGAGAGAAATCATGGTTTCTTGGTTAATTAATTTGGTTTTCGGGTGTATTTTGGAGATGGTAACTAGTGGTTTTACTAATGGAGGGTTATAAAGGGTGAAGGAAAGAGAGGCATAAAGAATAGGTGGTATCTGGGGGTTTGAGAACTGGGGTTTGTGGTAGTGCTATTTCTTGAGACACAGAGGACTGGGAGAGTATGGTTTTGAACATATTAGAATTAAGGGATTTTTCACATGTGTAAATGGAGAGAGATATCAAGTATTAGATACATAACTCTGAAGTTCAGGGAAAGACTGGGCCTGGAAATATAAATATGGAGTCATTGGCACAGTAAAGGCTGTGGGACTAGATGGGATCTTCTCATGAGACTTTAGTGTAGAGAGTGAAGCCAGTTTAGGATGGGGCCTCAGTGAAAGAGGAGACTGAGGAAAAGGGGTCAGGGAGGAAGGAGAAAAACCAGCATAGTGGTTTTACAGAAGCTGGAGGTGGAGTGTTTCAAGGAGAGTGGTCAGTGTGAAAGCTGCAAAGAGGTCACATAGGAGAGAACCGAGAAGTGACCACTGGATTTAGCAACATAGGTCATAGATAACCTTGACGACAACAGTTTCCATGCATATAGGAACAGAAGCCTGATTGTCATGGGTTAAGGAGAGAATGTGAGGTGAGGACGTAGAGGCAGCAAGATAGACAGACAACTCAAGCGCTTTTGAGAGAAGGAGTGGGGAGATAATGGAGTCAAGGAAGAGCTTTTTCAAAGAAGGGAAATTCTAGAGCAGGCTTGCTTGCTGTTGAGTATGAAGCAGTAGAGATGGTAGAAACTGATTGTGCAAGAAAGATATTATTACTCATGATATCTTTGACAGAGCAAGAGAAGATGGAATTCAGAACCCTAGCAGAGGAGTTTGTCTGTCTTGAGAGCAGGGACACTTGATTGTAACTGGAGGAATGAGTGAAGGTGCAGGTGGGTTTGCTGATACTCATTTTTTCTGACACCCCACTAAAACATTAGATATCGGAAAAGTGAGGTTTGATAAGGGAAAATGATTCATTTTTACAACATTTATTTGCAGTTATAGAACTCCGCTATCTAGACTTCCAGGTGAAAGTTCCAGTATGTTATGTTCTTTGAGATTGAAATGTTTTAAAATG